TTTATTTATATTTATTGATAATATATTATATTATATATTGATATAATTAGTAAATTTATAAAGTAATATTCAAAATATATTTGATACGAGCATGAATATATAATATCTAGCAAAGCTCAATGTTATACATAACGATGTTTAATATAATTACTTTTAAAAAATTTATGGAATTTAAATTTGTTAAAAAAAATCTTAAGTATCTTATATATATTAACGGTTTGATTGCCACGCTCTTTTTATATAGTACACTCAAGTGACCACAATAAAATTTCTATTATTCTTAGGATATAATGAATTATCACAATACGGCAAAAAAGAAAAAAAAAAATAGTGCAAATTATTTCTATTCAAAGTTCTCTATTTATTTAAGTTGTTTAAATTTTAAAAACATGGTTAAAATAAAACAGATATAAATTTAAAAAATTAGTATCGTCGGACACTTATGACCGCCATGACAGTCAACGCGTTAACATATTAATTATAATCTTGCGACGATTATAAATGTTCATCTCCAAAATTAATTAAAAAAGATATAAACATTAATTAAATATTATAAAATTTAACGTTATATGAAAAATTATAACGAATAGCCTATATTTTTATCTAAACATCCAAATATGTTAAAACTATTTTCCTATATTAAAAAATCTACGCAACAATTACGCACATAACCTAATCATTATGCGTATAGATGTGTGATTTCACATTTCTCGGTATAAATATCGAGATTCTGATATCTTAATGATCGCCGACTGTGAATTAAACGAGACTTAATGATATAACACTTTCACTTGAGTTACACTACCTGCTGATAATGCATCCGCATTTCCTCTTTAATTACGAGACATAGCATTGCTCCTATACGTCCGCGACAAACAAATTACTTCCAGTACATCGTACGAGTTTTCGTCACATTTATCATCGTACCGAACTTCAAATATGTTTCTAAATAAAACTAACGAGGAGGAAGGATGGTTAAGTCCGTAAAAACTAATATACGGTCACAGAAAGTTCGAAAGAGAAGCTGACATTCGAATGTATCGAAATAAATCTCAAACAGCCGTATCACGATGCTCTGCATATTTCTAAATTTGCTTCGCGAATGCATTAAACACCTCTGATACGTTGGCTATTTTTAATTTGATAAGCGTGACAGCAGACAGATGGCGCTGAACCAGCGCGCATGCGCGTGAATGCGCGCGAGTGTTTGTTTATCTTTGGTTATTATCCCATCATGGAAAACGTACGATATTGTGCAAGTAAATATTATTGCATTGCCAATAGGGATGATAAAATGAAATAACGAATTTATTTTCAAAAGTAAAGATAAAAATCGACATTTAGCCGGTTTTACGAAGAATTTGATGCAATGGAAATAACTCAATAAAAATAATTAAGTTATTCGTTTAAATCGATATACGTAATAAAACGGAAATAAAATAATTTTATAAATCATCACATTCTTGAATTTTATTAAACAAAATGGAGGATTCGACGAAACTTAATTACGAAATAACCGTAAATTATAATTTAAAAAAGAAATGACACTTCGTGAATCCAATATTAAAAAAAATATGATAAAAATATTTTCGTAACATTAATTTATATTTTTATTTCAGTTGATAAATGAGAACTTTACGTTACAGCGAATTCTCGAAGAATTTCCTGCCATAACCTAACATGCATGAGTCACATACCATTGAGTGACCTTGAATTACCTCGAAGTTACTTTATACAAGGTCAGTGATTTTTTTTTACTTCATTACAAAACAGATAGCGAAAAACGCGGTAATTTACTTAAAACAAAAAAAAATAATTAAATTAAAATTAATTAAAAATATATATAAACAGTTTTTATTTTTTGAAATTGCATAAAAATAACGGAAAAAGACTTTCTCTAGCTTTATTTAATAATATTACTACTTTATACGATACTTCAAGCAGAATTTATTTTAGGGACACCCTATATATCATACTACGGAAAACTCTATGTACACACACTGCTTCTTATCACCTATCATGTAACACATTATCTGCCCAAAAGCATATCACGTGAATTATTTTAAAATACATTTAGAAATTCAAAATTGCTATCAATTAGAAAAATAACAAAAAAGTACATATCCAAAATATACATAAAAGAATCTACTTTAATGTATAAATTAAACCATAAATTATAATTATATTTGAAACATTAATAAATGCAATTAATCTAGTACAACTATTTGTCTATATTTACTGCGTCCCATATTTTTTATTAAGATAATAAAATTCTAAAAAAATTTTAATTTATAAAATAAAAAATTTTTCGTAAAATTAAAAATCGTGGAATTTTTTTAAGTACCGAGAAAGCTGTGGAAATTTCTCTAAATCGTATGAGGATACATTTGTGGTATGCTGTTACTATGGTGAACACACACCACTCGTCAAATGCCATCCAATATCGATTTCTTCAAAGGTGTTCGAAAGGAAGAAAAGAACCCGTAGATAAAAGGAGAAGATTATCTAGGATGAGTCAAACTCATCGAACGAATCGTATTAGTTATCTATGTACAGCCACTTTGTCATTGATAAGCGAGTCGAAGAGAACGCTGCATGTATTCAAGGGTCAACATTCGATATATCCAGTATAAACGTACTTCAAGAATTTTCTTATCAGGTAAATAAGATAAACCTTACGAGATAATATTGTGCACATTTCGCGTTCTAAAAGAAAATATCTTATACAAACAAAAAGTACGATTATAGAAGTAAAGCATACTAATTTTTAATCGAATTAATATTGAAAAAATAAAGAAAAAAGAAAACACGTACTTCGTCCAAACGTAGCAATTCCTCAGCGGACATACTACTACGATCTCTTTTCTTGACATCTTTCCGTTCCTTCTTCTCACGCTTCCGCTTCTCCTTGTCGTCCTTCTCCGCAGCCTTCTTCATAAAGTTAAACATCTTCTCATTCACAGCACAGATCTTGAGTCGAACGTGAGAAAGAGATAATGCAGGATATCTCTCCTCTCTTGATAGCTCGCGCGTGCACAGTTCTACGCGCAGTCGCGTATTTCGGTTGGCCCCGCACGCATAACGCGACACTGTCCATCGAAACGACTATGTGTGCTCGGTCACACCGCCGTTACGTGCAAACACTAAACAACCGACGAAATCACTCCCCTGCGACGGCTGTACGATGCCTGGAGAGAGGGAAGGGGGGAGGGGCGTGCACGCTCGCGCAACGTTGCGTACGCGCCAAGCGAGCGCAAATCGGTAACAGGAAATTCCCTGTCACGAACGAATTCCGAGTAAACGATACGTCACTTTCGATGCCCCGTTATTTTACGATACAATACGAGGCACGTTTCCTTCGGCACGCTTCAATGTATTCCCACTCGAAACGGAACCAATAACAGGCACGGCCAACACTCGCGCATTACTCGCGAAATTTGCAACACTGGATTTTCACGCGGCACAGATCACGAAGCACTGTATGCGTTGGTAGATTTTCAGTCGATGATTGACGGTATGGTGAGACGTGACGCGTACAGGGGCGTGAACCTACCAGAGCAAACTGTTTCTTCATGGCCGGTCGTTTCCGGCATTCGATCCCAACAAGGTATGCCAAAACTGAATTTTTCTAAGATTCTTCCGTTGCGTTGCTTCCGAAGGCTTTTTACACACAGGAAAGTGAGTCGATTGGTTAAAACGAATGGAAAGTGTCCCCTTGTATAGAATGCACGACGACTGATCGAAAACACGGTTTTATGCACTTGGATAGTCCGCTTTTGTGTTAGTCGTGTTAATTTTTTTCTCCGCTGCTTCGCCACCGGAAAGCATCATTCCGTGTGAAAACAATATCGTGACAATCGCGCGTGACAGCAAACTTTTACCTTTGCGAGGCTTTCGAGTCGCCGGTATACCGACGGGAGAAGGCGGAAGGGAAGGATAGGAATACGCGTGCCTAGAACGAAGAGGAAGGGGGGAAGGTTGGAAAGGAGAAAGAGAAGCAGGAGCGAAAGAGCAACGAGAATCTACATGTCATTTTTCACCACACCTTACTCTCACGCTCTTTGGAAAGCTTCTGCTCATAAACAAATGCCATACAGTCACACGAAGGAATGTTAAGCGTTGCAACGGCGTGCGTAACTAGTTCTTCGCGGCACAATCGAGCGAGCCCTTGGAACGATAGGTGATGTCACACGAGACAGGGAACCGACGCGATTTTCGATACGCGACGAAACTGACAGTCAACGCGGCACGAGACACACGTCACAACACCGCCACCACACCACCCGCCGCCATTCACTAGACTAAAGACGCGTGCAATTCGTATAATTCTGTAGATCTAGACTGCTCGATACAATTGTGCCGTTGCTCCAAAACGATCATACACGTGTCCGTCGGAGCGTATAACAGCCTAGCCCATTGGATCGTTCCCTTTGTCAAAAAAACACAGTCAATAATAGATAAAAGTTCAACGGCGCACTCGTGTGACACCGACGACTGTCATGGCAGACTGTGTCGCGGATTACAAGTTGGACCGGTGGCGACTGCTGGCGTCCTAAACCGAATCATGGCCTATAGGCCCGCACCCTTCTTTCCGTTACATATTTCTGCGCATGCGCCACTAATCGATGATACATTATCGACTGAACACAAGGCGAACGATATCTTTCGAATTTTAAAAAATCAAAATATGTATTTAATATCGATTTAATAAATAAATAATTTGGTATAACGATATTTTAATTGTGAAATAAATTTTTCGTGCATGCAATATTTATTTATATTCGATATCATGTATGAAAACTATGTATCTGATTCATTTTTTTCCAGAATTTTTGCATTCAAATACATATTGTGTAATTATGAGTATTTTAAATTAAATATGTATATAATAATTTACTTGCCCCATACAATATTTAATTGCTCCTTCTACGTCAAGCCTTTCTCTGCTCAATCGACGTTGTATTATGAATAAATGTAATTAAATGTGCTTCTCAACAGCTGGCAGCACATAGCAGAATTTCGCGAGTGGAGAATTGTGGGTTCAATAAATAATGTTTTGATATTATGTGCATCATCACGTGAGATAATTCTTGGTTAGAAGTATAATTGAATGGTGATGACAAACTATTTTCTATGAAATATAATGTTTCGATATTTTTCGAGTGCTCGTGCTCTCTTCAGCGTCGTAAGTACCGAAGCATGTATACAATGCAGTAAAGGTAAAATTATCACATTTAGTCGACCAACGCGAAGTTTGTTCACAACAAACGTACAATGCTCTACTGTCGGCGAAATTATCAAACAATGGGGCGACCGGTTTAAGAACGAAGGTATCCCAGAACCCGTAGAATCGATCGAGCACATCGTTGCGCACGTCATGGGCACTAGCAAGGTATCACATTTACTAAGCATTGAACATAACCATAATATAATTTCAACCCTTCACTCTTGTATTTTCATATTGCCCAACGTTAACTGTTAAAGTTATTCACCGGTATTCACTCTGATAAAAATATTTTCTTTCAATAAATCTTCCCCCGATACTTAACCTCTTCAGTCAAAATAAAAATATTAACCTATATTGGTACGTATTTATTTATTATAATATAAAGTACTTAAAAAATATAATAAATGTGATTTCTTTTTATGCGATTATTTTTTAATCCTATCAAAATGAAATCAATAATAAAGTATCAATAAATATTTATTTGATATATTTATGTATATTCCAGATTTTAAGATAGCATTTTAGTAAAAATTTATTTTCAGATCTTAGATCTTGTAAACGCGCGAGATGAACAACTTACATCAGATCAGTGCGATATACTGGATTCATTGTGCGAATGCCGCTTATCTAGGTAAAAAATATTCCATAAAATTATTATTTATTGCTTTCTTGCTAAAATAGAATACTTACAGAATGCCGGTTCAATACATAATAGGAGAATGGGACTTTCGAGATATTACATTAAAAGTAGTCCCACCAGTTTTCATTCCGCGACCAGAAACTGAAATGTTAGTTCATTACGTATTAAAAGCGTTAAACTCTTCCGAAAATAAAGGATCAGAAATTTTAGAAATTGGATGTGGTTCTGGAGCAATATCTCTTGCGATCACACATACCGACAAAGCAGTAACTATCATAGTAGTCCATTACTACACATTTAGCACATATTTATCTACATTGAAAATAATTTTCTACAATAAATATTACATTACGAATCATACGTAAAATTATTTTCTAGGCTAATTGTATAGCGATTGATTCAAGCCTAGATGCATGCGAATTAACCAAAGAAAACCGAGATCGACTATACTTAAAAGATAGAGTTGCAGTTATGCATGCAACTCTTAAAGATAATGGTTCGATAGAACTTTCGAAAATATTGAGTGGACCTACAGATCTCGATTTGAATTCAAAAACTTTTGACTTCATAGTTAGTAATCCTCCTTACGTACCGACCAAGCAGATACCTACATTAACTCCTGAAATTAAACTGTAATTTCATTATCTTTACATAAGCTTTAAATAGTGAAAATATTTAGGTATTATAAATTAATATTTCCAATTATAATCTTGCTTCAGTTTCGAAGACTTAACAGCACTTGATGGAGGCGATGACGGTTTGAAAGTTATTAAACCTTTATTAAAATATGCTGCTACAGCTTTAAAACCGGGCGGACGTTTACTATTAGAAGTTGATACAACTCATCCTGAATACATACAGTTTTTTACAAGAAAATATCCCATTCTTAAACTTCAATACGAACATACGTACAAGGATTTTTGTAATAATGATCGATTTGTTGAAATATCAAAATTATCGTAAAAATGTTTATAGATACTTTTTGAAATAAATAAACTAAATTAAATATATTAATACAGAATTAAGTAATATATACAAAATTACAAATATCAATAATTTATTTGTTTTCTAATAGATTACTGAAATATATTTAGATTAAAAATATTTTTGTGTTGAATAAGATTACAAAATTGTCTTTTCTTAAATAAAAAAAATGTTACTAGTTCCGATAAGAAATGAACGTTTGTTTGTGTTGATCAATTATGCATCTCAATTAACTTATGATATGTACAATGAGAAACTAAAAAAGCGATAAACGTTTTAATTGACAAAGAAATGATTTGATAGTAAATATAATAACAATTTTGATTTTATTTAGCAAATCTTACTATCTGTACAAAAAATATATATATATAACAAAAAAATAACAAATATAACAAAATATAAAAAAACATTTCTAAAAGTCGTTCTTATTTTAATTTTTTTTTTTTGCTTTTAGTATAAAAAAAGCAGTATTTTGTTTTGTTACCAATGAATCGATAATAGTTATAGTAGCATCAGTATGTATACAATATATAAGTAAATATTTTCTACACAATATATCTAGTTTCTTAATTTTGACAGTCTTTCAAGAAAATGTTAATTGCATGAATGAAGTAGAATAAATGACTAAGTGGGAATCAGTATAAATAAGCTATGTTAAATATATTACATGAAATACAAATGTTATTAGTTAAAAGCGTATGTATAAAAACTTATCAAATATTTACAATTATTACAAATATTGCTTCAAATACTGATTTTTATATGTCTTTCATTCATTTTATAAATATTAATTACTTAGAGATTGAAATTATTAGAAACTGTTATATTGTATTGGCAATTATCAAATATACCATAATTAATTATACTTACAAGTAACAGTCTCAGAAAAATCTTCATATAAATTTTTCATCAAGATATTTTCAATAATATCAATCTCTCTAAAACCAATGTAGGAAGTAGTAATTGGAATTAGCACATTCATTAATCTTTTCAAGAGATCCTTCTCAATTGTCTTTGAACTACGCTCAATTGTACTTTAGTGCTTAATACTTGTTATTGTTTAATGTTGTGAACTTTCTGATTATTTATTGTGGAGAAAATTTTTCAAGTTCTTTTTTAATTGAAACTATTAGTGGTACTGCTGGATCTTCTGGTGGCAATTGACAGTCTGTAAGTATACGCCTTGTGTCTATATCCGGTAAATTAGGCCTATGAAATGGACCAGCACTTAGTGGTCTAGAGCCCCAACTATTGCGAGATCGAGTTGGAACAGAATTTTCTGCAACATTTCCCTCGTTAGATTTTATAGGAAATGACGTACGAGGTCGACTCTTCATTACTGTTGACGGTGAAGATACGGGGCTAACGCAAAAGTTGAATATAAATATGAGTATGTATATATTATATAGTTTAATAATATTTATATTAAACACAAAGAAAATTGAAATTATATACTACTTATCACGCATTGAAAAAAGAACAAGTATCATATTTCACAAAGTAATAACTGAATGAAAAATTTGAAACACTTCGGATAAAATAAAGTACAAATATATGATAATTTATATTATTTTAGTAAAATTGCATTTAAAATAAAAGTAATAAATTTTTTTTAAGAAATATATATTAGAACTATTTAGTGCATATTTGCCATAAAATGATATCTTTATATAAATATCAATTTTATTTCATAAAAGATAAAAAAGAATTTCAATTTATAAATATACCTAGCATGAGTAGATCTTCCTTTAGTCTCCGAAAATACCGTAAGAATATCTGGTGTACGTGCTGCCGAAGTAGGTCTTGTAGCACATAATTGTACTTCAGATTTTGGATCTCTACTTCCAAAGAGACTGAAAGAATCTTCAAGAAGTTCATGAAGTCTTCTCCTCGCTTTTCCTACAGGTCCAGAAGGCAATATATAAGTTGGATCAACATCTGTTTCTGAAGTACCATTGCCTTAAATTGCACCGAGCAAAGAAATATTATTACTATCACTAATAAGATTTTTTAAATAAATTATACATGAAAAATGGACTAAAAATAATTTCTTTTAGTTGAAATAGATGCATTAAAAACTGTTTTTTTATATCAATTTTCATAATATATTTGGAAAATGCAAGTACTTAGTAAATGAATTATATAAAAATGAATGAATAATAAACGAATCAAACAAGTATACCTTCTGCAGACAAATTTTGTCTTCGAAGGTTCCAAACAATAGGGCCAACAACTCCAGGATCTTTAATAGCACTAGAAGTTCGTGCAAAAAATTTATCATTTATGTCATCACCCCTGTAGACCCCTAAGTGATCATCCTCCCGCCTTATCAATTCTGGAGAATCTATATCTAAATGTTTAACCTAAATAAAACAAATATTTGCTTCAAAACATGAATAATAAAAAAATAGTACATGTCACTAAATAATAATGTTATATGAAATATTAATTCCAAGTTTCATTATAACAATAAAAATTAAGTGAAAAGATTTACTTACCATAACTGGTTCTAGTACTCTAGAAAGTGGTTCAACGCTTTTCATACTAGGGAATGGTTTGCAAGATGGCATAGAGAGATAAGAATGTGGTGAAGCAGTAGCTTCTTCTTGTCTTGTATAATTATTTTCCAAAGAATCTAACGTTTCTAGATGGTCGACAATCACATCCGTCGAATCAGATGTTCGAGGCGTATCAATGGCATTTGTTCGAGACATTTTTCCATGTATCAATCTACAATTAAATAACAACAATAAAGAATATCTGGAAAATTATATATTTATACACTTTATATTAGCTATACGTAAAATTCGAAATTATTAAAAGTTTTAAAGTACAGAATAAAAAGACTGCTAATTAAATTCAAAAAGAAATAAAATATATAATAAAAATGTTAATAAATTTTGTATCGAGCTAATACTTCGTTGTACCTCGGTTTCATCGAAGGATGTTCCCAAGGACTAGATTCTCGTGCTTTACTTTTCTGTTCTTCGTCGTCGCTTGAAACCTCATGAATTCCCGCCTCGAGACTATCTGGTGTTTCAAGGGAGACCGGAGTCCTCGACAAACTTCCAGGAGTCTGTCTCTGACTGGTACCGTCAGTCTATAAAGAAAGATAGGATGAACAGAAGATCGATAAAACTGCTTCGTGATAAATCAGTTTAAAAGAACGTAGAACATTTCGTTGAAATCAATAGACGCATAAGTATCGAAGTTTGTCATTAGGGTTTTCTGTAACCCTATCTAGTTATTTAGATCCCCTACACAATAATGTATTTTTTCTCTTATATTTCTACAGAATATTCAGTTTAAATAGAAACAAATAAATATGTTAAGAAATATGTAAAATGTGAGAAGTATTTCAAACAAAAATCAAAGAACAAAAACAAAATTTTTGGTTTTAAATTAAAAAATTGTATTTTCATCTTATTTGATAAATATTTATTACAATCAAACAAAAAAGTGAATATTTAAAAATATGTTTAAAAAAGTAACAAAAATATATTTATGTATACATATCAAATATTTCTTAAAAATTATAATTATAATTTTTTTTAAATTATTTTTGAATTTATTTTTAAAAATTAAGTAACATAGATATCAATTATATAAACATACCTTAATTTCCATTTCTGATGTTGAGCAAGCATTATTATCAAGACCAGCAGTTGCTTGTATATATTCTCGATTTTTTTTTAAAGTATGATGACTCGGTGGTGCAGCTACTGCACTGTGTGCTCTTTTTCTTTTTGCTGCAAGAATTAATCCCAGCACAACCAATGCTAATAAAATAAAACCAGCACTTGCTGCACCAATTAGGAGCCATGCATCTCTTTTTCTGGAAAGGGCTAATGGTCGTGTTTCTTTCAAGTAAGCTATATGTACAAAAGGTGCACAATAATTTTAGAATCATTCAGAATCAAAAATTATTTAAAATCAAAATTTAATATAGTACAACATTAATTATTACTTCTAGAAATTATTCATTTTAAAATCAATTCATTTTAATTAGAAGGAATAAAATTTTGTTCAAATTATATGTTAGAAATAAATATTGTATTTTAAATTCTACATTTTAAAATCATAATTTGAAAATATTAAAAAATTGTTGAACTCATAGAAGTAGAAAAATTAAAAACAAATACTACCAAAGTTATTCATACGTTATTTTCTTTTTTATATCATCATATGTTTGCATACTAGAATCTATGAAAAAAAATATAGACAAAGTAAGTGATATAGCTAGAAATACGTACGTTCACTTTGAATAAGAACTGGTGCACCAAGTTCCAATGCAACTTCTTGTGGTGACAAAAGAGCCATATCCCTGGCAGCTGTTTCTGCAGGTACAGGTTTTCCACCTAGGTGAACAGAGTAAATCAACTTTGTAGCGCCACCTTCAGTTACACTTGTATTTTGCATTCTAACTTGAACAGTCTCCTCTCCAGAATGACTTATTAAACGTAATTCAGAACGTTTACTTGCACTTGTATTCCCTCTATCAATATTATTTAATATTTGATTTTCTGATGCTTGATGATTATCTGTGAGATTTTGCAGATTATGTATCATAGAAGATAAATTAAAGGATACATCATTCTGCAAGGATTGTTGACTTGTGTAATCTTTGGTACTGTCATTAAAATCCACTGATGTAGTTGTAGTAGATAAATTTGTATTGGATAGTACTTTTTCTTTGACGAGGCTTAATTTTTTTAAGTGAAAATTATCCACTTGAATAGGTTTGCTGTAATTTTCATTGACATTAGGTGTTGAAAAAAGGTTATTTTTTAAGCTAGGTACATCAACCAGTTTTATGCGGTTTGGCATTGTAGAGATTTGAGATTCTGAATTCGTTTGAATCCTCAATTTAGCTGAAGAAATTGCTGAATTTTCAAATATTTCTTCTTGACCAGCAATCTTGGGCTAAAAAAATGTTTAAAACATGTTTACCAAAATCTTGATTTTAGTTTCATATTTAAAATACAATAGATTATCTATTATTTAGCTATATTTATATCGAGCAATTAAATATATTCAAAAGACTGTTATACTAAACTCATTTAAAAATTTTGCAGAACAAGTGCAAAAATCTGTAATATTGTATTTTATATTGTATTTTTAGATTAAAACCATATTCATGTTTAAGTTTGTATATATATTATTTTGTATAAATAACTATAATGCTTATAATTATTAGCTTAGCTGTAATGTTTATAATTATTCATTAGGAGTATTTATTTTACTAATTTCTATGGTTCAACTATTTTATTTAATTTGATTTCATTTTATTTCAATTGAATTCAGTTACCTTATTTTCAATGACTGCATGACCTCTTGTAACTCTTCGAAATCGTGATTCTGTTTGTAAAAGTCCAAGATGACGTTGCTGTTGTCTTGAAAATGCAGTCTTATATAAGCGAGCTAATTTCAATTCGATTTTAGGTGGTATAGCTTCTCCTGCACGAAGAACTGTTAGTAACCAATATCTAAACATACGAGATAGTAAGAAATATTAATATCAAGAATTAAGGTACTTAATGAAAATAATATTATATAACTTTACCTATAGTATTGATTTTTTCAAATACATTAGCTTCTTTATACAATAAATACCTTTTAAATTAATACGTGTAATTTCATGTCATATAGACTACAATAATTTTTTCGTTTATATCAATATGAAATTATTATTATATATTATATATATATATATATATATATTGTAAATTTATTAAAAAAACATCTGTATTAATAAATTAAGACATATATTAGAAATTAATATCAAATAATTATCTTATATCCCATTCTTTTGAAATATATATGTTTTTCTAATTCCATTAATATATATAAATACATATAATACCTAATAAAAATAATTTAATAAATAAACAAATAATGAACTACAAATAATTTCTAAAACATCTTTTTTTACTATAAAATATATCTTTCTTTATCTACACTATGAAATGTGAAGAAATTATAAGGAATTGGTTAAATAAAAAATGAAAAAATATAATTTATTAATATTATATTCATACAGTTAAATTACGTATATAATATAATATGAATATCAAAGTAACTATTTTCTAAATATTTCAGTTAATATAAAAAATTACAACGCATTATTTATAAACAACACTTAAAAATCATTACATAATATTGTATCAATCAGAATATTGTACACAATGTAGAAAAAAAATATAATAGCCAAGTGGAACACAGAAGTACATGTAATTTTTCCGTCAGTGGAACAATAAACACAATAAAATACAAGCAAAGAAAAATTGTTAAATGAGTGCAAAAATGAGTGCAAAAACCAGTAGCAGCTGAATTTCTCCTCCGGACAGATGACGCACGAATCCGGCGATAAAGAAAAGAGGATAAGTCAGGATAAAGAAAGTTAAAACGCTATTTAGAGTTGCTGCCAGTACACAGATGGCCGCACCAATCCGGTCGTGACGATTTACTACGCAGTATGTCGATAATATAAATTTGGCGCGTTCTTTATGATGTGGTGCAAATATTTGTTTACAGAAAGTTGAACACAAATGTTTAAGAAAAGGTTACTGATTATACAAATTTTTTATATTTTCCTTTATTTATATATCTTTATTATAAAAATATATATTACTTTTAAAAACTGTAGAAGTTTGTTTTTGTATTTGTCGATTTAAGTAGAATATAACTTTTTGTAATAATTGTTAGGCAGTGTAGAATTTGAATACAATTTTTATTTGAATTTTATTTATATGAAGATGATAGATACCTTGGTCCAGGATCTTCCCCAATAAGGATACCAATGTTTTGATCTTCATCATCATCCAACCTAGGTGTAGGTTCAATGCAAGTAATACACTTTGGTTCATTAGAATCAGTATGATCGGGAAATAATGATTTATCATCTTTTTCTTCTGCAGGTGAGTATAATGTTACGGTATGATGAACTGTTCTGGTTTCATAAATGGTCAAGCCTTGATTAGAATCTACCCATGGTGGAGCATCTTTAGCATCTGACCAAAAAAAGTCTTGAAGATGCACTCGACGTCCTGGTAGATGCTCAATAAGAACAATTTCATCCTCTGAGATCAAAAATATTTATTTATAATAATTTATAACTTATAAATTGATCAGTTCAATGAATAAAGATGAAAGTAATATGTTTAAATAATATTTATTTGATTTATTGATGCAATCTTATGGTAAATTATATTACAATTGAGTCGAACAAGAAATTGTATACCATATTTTTTATATATATAGTATGGAAAATATTATAAGAAACTAATTTACTTCACTAATTGGAATTTGAATTATAGTTTAATAATGGATGTTTTTATAATGCTGTATAAATTATATTTACTTTCTTAAATTAATATTGTTAATATAAGGATAAAATGAATCATATGGTTTTCATATTTCTAAATAAGATATAGTTAAGTTGTGTAGTAAATATAATTTGAACTATAACTACAATTTGTTGATGAATTTTTGCTGATAAAACATTTTATTAACACACTCAAGATAAAGTTACCCCAAAAATAAATACTATAACATTTTTATGTTAAATATTTTTCTAATATAATAAAAATATTATTTATAACTAAAAAATTGAAAATAATGTAAAAATTCTGTATTATTCTGTATTGTCTCAAAAGATTGTCACTTTATTTACATAGGCAAAAATTAAATAAGCATATTTAACTATAGGAGATACTTGTTAAACAAATATAAAAAATTTTTAGATTTTAAAAGCTAATGATGAAAATAGATGAATTTTGAGAATCATTATAGACAGAAATATTTTAATTCTGTATAGATGATAATAATATAATTATTCATTTTAAATGTGATAATAAGTTAAAGCAAAATTATATGTCATTGTTGCATTTATACAGGTAAGTTAAATATATTAGAATATTTTTTACCAAATAATTATATCAGCAATTAAAATTTGGTTTTTTAAATATTTTAGTATAATATTTAATGAATAAAAAGTTCTTCGAGCATTATGCACTTTCAAATAATTCTGTATTTCCGCATAACTATGAAACAGGAATAGCCAAACGTGAATGCATCGGTGCGTGAAAGCTTCACTTTCCTAGGAATTTATCGGCCGTCGATAAGGACAATGACCTTTAGTCATGCGAATCGTTTATAAGACCATGTGACATCATAGAACGCAGACGAACTTGATCGTAAGCTTTCTCCAACGTTTAAAATCAATACCTAACCATGTAAATACGTACATACATACATATATACATGTAAACAGAATGATGAAATATGGATAGGGTTATCACGCTATCTCCTCATTTCATGAAAACTGTACATCACTAGTGCGTATAACAGGAAACCAGAAACGGCAATTAAAGAACTTTTATGCTTCGTGTCTTTGAACAAAAGACAAGGAAATTACCAATGGAATGTCATTTATGTTCATATTTACGTTTGAGTGGTTTGATATATTGTCACAATTCCATTTTCTATTTGCTTAAAGAAGTATAAAGAAGGAACTGCTCTGAATGTATTTTAAAGTAAATGAGTACATATATATGTACATTGAATAATAATATATAAATTTCAATTTTCTACAATGTTATATCAGGGTTAACACGAAATACATAATTAAATTTAAGTTTTCACTGCCTACCATCCCAACCATCTAAATACTATCCGTGCCCAGCGCAGCTTAACTTCGGTGATCAGACGAGAACCAGTGCATTCTACGCGGTTTGATCGTTGGTTGCAACAAAATTTTTGTTACAGTATGATATATTAATTCAGAACTCTTAATAATCTATTAATTTTTCCATTAATATTGATTTGAACATGATATAAAGGAAAAAAAGAAAACATAATACAATTATGCTTAAAAAATTGAACTACATAATAAATCATAGGTTCTGTTATACATAACCAATTCGTATAAAAATATAATTATGTATATAATACTAATAAAAAAATTATATTTAAATATAAGCAATTTCAAAAATAGATAATTTAAATTATCATTAATGGGAAAATTAATAAATAACATTATTGTATGTACCGTATTACACTTTAATAAATCGTATAATGTCAGCCAACGATCAAAGCGCGTAGAAAGCACTGATTCTCGTCCGATCACCGTAGTTAAGCTGCGCTGAGCACGGATAGTAAGTACTTAGATGGGTGGGACCACTTGGGAACTCCGTGTTGTGTTGTTGGCTCCCTTTCTTTTTTTTCAATATTGTTTAATACATTAAATAAATAATACTAACATACTTAAAATATTACATATTAAACAAATAATAATGGTAATAAAAATTTAATAATTCGTGTTCGGGTATCCAACAATTTTTAATTCAGCCTTTGAAATTTTGTTTAACTTCAAACAAATGTATCTTTCATTTTTATCAGATTTTAAGACTTTTAATTTTACTCTCGGGTGATTCATTTTCTATGACATACAAAAGATGTAATAGTAACTTTATTGTGTTATTATAATTTAAGAATTGATATGTTAGGCAGAAAAGATTAAATAGAAATATAGTGCGGTTTGAGATACGCTTGCATGTACTATGCTCACTTGTCAGGGCGACCTGATTTTATGGTCTGTTTGTAGTTCCGGACCGGAAGTGTCATCCAAGCTCTGTATACCTTGTCGAGTACAATTTTATGATTAGGCGATACACACGCAGAATCAACAGTTGTATCCATTGAATTATGTTTATACAGAAATCTGGATATTTGACATTTACAATAGTAATAATTTAATAATGGTGTGTAATTAGTGGTTATATAGTAATTCGGATATCTAATATTTATGATATTAATAATTTAAATGTAGTATCAAATGTATGAAATTTATGTAGGGATATGTTTTAATTGACGAAATATAGGGAATCAAGGATATTATTTAATTCCAATATATTTTTATTATAAGCCAAAGAAACTTAAGAGTAAAATACAACTAAAAGATTAGACTATTGTAAGAACTGTCACCGACTCGACTCTCTTCCAAACCTCTTATCGCACTTTTACCAATAGGACTCTCTTAGGACAGCCCTTGCACTCTCACTTAAACCTTGTAGCACTCTGTTTTCTTTTATACTCAAGCTTTCTTCCTCAATCACGCATTTCCTATAGCCTCGTTCTCGATTGGCCACGGCGTACCCTAAACATTCAGGCGCCTCTCGCTCTTCGCTTGCATTCCATACAGTCATAAATATTCCCCGTTCATCCAATCCTTGCACGCGGTCACTCGTCGTTCAACGCGCACTTCAGACAACAGTCTAAACGTTCAGTCTGAACTCTAGGTTGCTTGTCTATTGCCTATATATATTATCTATAGTCACCATCTAGATAGGCCTAAGGATTCCTTTGCACTACTATCACACTTACTATTTCTACATTTATGGAAGGAATAACGCTATTTAATTATTTCAAAATTGTATGTATAGTAATTTTACATTTACTTTGAATAAAATATTATTTAAAAATATTAATAAAATTTTAAATTTCATATACGAGTTGCAATACTTTAAGAAGCTTGTTAGATATACATTACAAATATTTCATGTGAATATTTTATATTTATTTATAATATATATTCTATTATTTATAGCACATTTATTTATAAATAATTATTGTTAGTGTACCCAGTCTAGTCCAATTATAATGATATTTCGATAATGATCCATTTAAACCTTGTTTATTTTTTATTTAAAATTAGATTTAAGAAAATAGATATTTTTGTCTTTTATTTATTTTGATTTTTGCTTCTTGAAATTTTAGAATTAATTGATACTTTTTGTAATAAGATTCTATATTTTTTATTTATAATTTATAAACACATATGTATGCTATACAACCATCCAAAGTGTCAGTTCATTTTCTTTTGTCTTTTTTAATTCTTTCAGTGAATTACAACAAGAACAATATTTTGTAACGCATGGTTTAGATATTCATGATTTTACAAATACAAACAAAAATTAATCAAAACGAAATTATTAATCAACGAAATAAATGTTTTTATTTAATAATTTATGTTATGCGACCACAGAAAATGTTTGTTACAATATTACATCACATGTTAGATGTAATGAAACTAGTTACCTACAAGAAAATATTTATTTAACATAGAATAATTCAATGATATCTAGTTTGGATTTATTTAAATCACAAATATCTAATTAATCAATTTTAAATCCGTCTATTGCAAAAAATTATTAAATTATTTAATGCAATTTATTTATAAAAAATTGTAACAATTTATACAATTACAATTTTTTATTGGTCAAAATAATTAAATTTGGACTTATTTTAATCACAAATATCTAACTAATCAATTTTAAATCCTTCTATTGCAAAAAAATTATGGAATTATTTATTGTACTTTATTTATAAAAAAATTGTAAAGATTAATTTTTTGTTAGTCAAAATAATTAAGTTTGTTAATCTCATATAATTCCTTGGGTAGTTTGAATATTGTTAAGCATAGTATAGTTCATTTGATTAGAAATGAACAGGACCATTTTTAAAAATTTGGCGGGAATTACAAAACCTTAGTGAGTTTAATGAGTTTATTTTAAACCATTTAATGAGTTTAGTTACACATGATAGTAAATTTATATTAATTATGAGAAATTAATTCTTCATGCATAAAAAGCATTGAATACTTTGCAGAACTATTCTAACAAGTACAAAAGGATATGAAATAACCGATTAAATCACGTCGTACAAACTTCCTGTGGAAGGAGAAATCCTGTCAAAAAGTTTGTCATGCTACTGCGTGACTATGAATTTCATTATTACTTAGTATGAGGTCGTTGAATCCTCTCCCATTTAATAGATCTTGAATGAACAACGAGCTCTTGAAATTTTTACAGATTTATAAGGCTGTAAAGTAAATATTTTTTATTTTACAATACATTTATTATATATAATTATTT